GTTTGACCTCTTAAGTCCAAAACTGTAATTAGATCTCAAAATGGTCAAGAGATGATGGTGCTATGAGCTAAAAGTTTGTACTTGAAAACTCCGAGCCATTCTATAGTCGCTATGCCACAGCTAAAAAATTAATTGACATAAAGGTTATCCCTGTGATCAGAGAGGGTTCAAGACACAACCATTGTCTTTCACAACTTCCATCAGAACACAAATTTAAGAAAGTCAATGATACACAATGTAGGAAAAGTAAATTTATTGTTTATTTAGCAAGTTTTCAATTAGAAACATAACACAGTGTCAAAAAACAGTAAATTTACACTTTATTTAACACTAAAGAATTGATAGTGAATGCTGCCAGCCAGTTGCCTTTCTTCTAGTCACCAGATCAAAATTAAGGACAGTGGAAGACAACCTTAATAGCTTTGCCATAACTCAAAAATAAACAAACAAATATAATGCCTCATGGCTGAAGGATGAGCAAGTTTAGTGGCTACAGAAGTTGAATTTTAGTCTCTCAAATCATGAAGTACCCCTCTTAATCATCAGGCCAAGCCAGCCTATAGCTGAATGAATATGAAATAATAAACAAATAATGAGAATTCATAACGATAATATTTCAGTTGGTTGGATAATTGCAATAATTGAAAATATTAATAATCAGAAACTCATAATTTTTATTAAATGCTTATTTTCATGACACTAATCAATTTAGCTGGACAAACTTGAATTAATCAAAAATAATAATAATATTGGATAATAATAACTTGGATAGTTGGAATAATCTAAAATGGTAATAATCAGAAACACTAATTTCAATTGGCTATTTTCATGGCATTAATTGATTTAATCACATATTTTACATGACAGTAATCTATGCACATAGGTGATGAATGCTGATGGGTAATTAACAGAGTTAATAGCCCAGCTCTAGATGTAAATCTGGCTTGTGGAAATACTGAAATTCTGTCAGTACTGAATATGTTAGTACTATGTTAAAAGATTTTCCATAAACTTGATTTTCCTGTTTTTGATACAAACGAATTTTATTTAGTTTTATTTGGAAAAACTGTGCAGCTGAAAGTTTTACAGAAAACATTATCTTTATATTTGACTCTGAAAAGTATTGTTAATGATATTAAGTAAAATATACAATTTTTACACAATTTTATGTAGGTCTTGGCTAGTCCAGTGTCTTCGAGTGGAGATAAAACTGCAAGAAAAATGGAATGGATGTTTTCAAATTCCACAACAAAAGCTGACCTTTTTGGTCTTCAACCTGCATCTCAATATCGAGTGAGTGTGTGGGCTGTTACTGAAAAAGAAGTTACTGATAGGACTTCTGTTGTAGCATGGACAGAGGTTGCCAGTGAGTATAGTTTATGGTCGTTTATAAATTGAGAAATAATTTTATTTTTTAGGATTTGTTATAACATGGGTTCAAATTTAATCATAAAGGACCATTTCATGGACACTTACATTATACAGTGAACAGGTTGTGAATTCTTTTAGTAATATATTACCCCATTTGAGTATATTCAACACTGTGTAAAAGGTTAATGAATATAAATCTTAGAATTTCTGTGGACAGGCATGGCCTAGTGGTTAATGTGATTGGCTGCAGATCAAAGGTTCTGAGGTTTGAGACATGGTGCTGCTGAACATGCACTGTATTGTAACTGGTGGGCTCATTATCAGAGTGACATACAGTTCAATATAAAGTTCAAAGTTCTAGACAAGGTCCATGTTATGGCAGTTCTTGCTGAATGGTTGCTTTCCTTCAGATCAGTCTTTCAAAATTAAGGACAGCTGTATTCGAAACTGAGGGGTCTCTGACCTAACTATTTAGCCCAAGGGCAAACATGGTACTATTCAAGTTGAAAATTCCATTTAAAATTTCTGTTAATATTTTAGCAAAGTTGTATTTGATATACATCTGCATGTATGAAGTGCTCATTTACAGTTTAGGTCTTTTTAAAAAAAAAACTGTTCTTATGCAGGTTACATACGCATGAATAAAACAATTGCTTTATAAAACAAACTTTCTGAAAAATTCATAGCCTTCATTAGCATTGCATGACAATTTTTAAATTCAGTAATATGTTTTTGTGATCATGAATCATATTAGGTAACTAAAATAATTTATTTGTATAGAAACTGAATTCACATTAAAAAACAACCTATACTACTAGTATGTTATTCAAAACTTAAATTCATTCCATAAATAGATACTATCTTTTAAAGATTATAGTCACAGTTGTTAAATGGACTAAGCCAGATAATGATAAAAAGTTATTGTCTTTTGATTATTATCATTATTAATTTTTTCTTTAGCCAACAGCTTCTATATGACTTAATTACTTAATATTTTTCTGTCAAAAAAAAGATCAGTGCAAAATGATTTTTTAGAAGCGTTTGCTAGACTTTCTGTTTTTCTGTTGATTTACCTATTCTTCAATGTAATATTAAGTGATGAAAATATGTGTTTCATCAGGCCTCAGTATAATTCTCAAAATTAAGATCATTATTAATATTGGTTATGTGTAAGATATGTATATATATATATTATACTGAAGCAACAGAACCTCTGTTTTCACCACTTATATGTTTGTGCATTAAATTTGATTATAGGTATAATAAATTTTAAAAAATAATTTTATATTCACAGTACTAAGGAAATATCTATTTCAGTGTATTTATGTACAGTTGTTATGAAGAGTATTATTGAAATGTAAAATACTTGTGTATGTTTTATAATGAAATAAAAGATGTAATTAAAGGTGGTATCTTCTTTCTAGTTCCTGAGAAGCCCCTTCCTGTTGAAATTGTCAAGCGAGAAGGTTCAATCGTATATATACAGTTACAGAGTTACAGCTCCCAGACTGGACCTATAACGTAAGTATTCATTAATGATATTATGTCACAGTTTACCTGTTGCTTTTTAACCCTTTTTAATATGGTATCATGGGTTCTTATAAGACCAAAATACAACATGTTTTAAAAAATTATTTGTGGTGTATCCCATCAAATTATCTCCAAAATAGAATTGTAACAGAAATGTTTAAATTTTAAATCTTCATGTGATTTATATTTTATTAACCCTAGTACTTGAATTTTCCTGTATTGTAATTATTAATGAGAAGGTGGAAATTGTTAAATTCCCACCTGCATGGATGCATCTTGTCAGTGGATGAAACCAAGCTACAATTCTGTAATTCTTGGAAGTTTATTTTTTAGCCTAAATAATTTGCAAACAGTTACTTTTTTATGTTAATGATGTCAAGAACTGTAAATTTTAACTGTCTGCACATATATATATATATATTTTTACAATTTGCAAGTTTCTAAAGCTGATAAAATCGTATACATTTTATGGAACCTGGGATTACTTTCTTTATTACAGTCTATTTACTATAGATCTACCTACCTTCTTTTTGCAGTTACACTAGATTGTAAAGTTGAAAATTTTCTTACATCATTTCAAGGTACCTTGAGGCCACGAGGGGCTTTTTGATTGTAAGTTAGTAATGGTTTTCTATTATTTGTAAGCCACAGAAAAGTAATAACTTAATGAATTTCCCTCTATGTGTTTATGTTACTGAAGTAATTGCCTTAGCAGCAAATTTTCTGTTTACAAGAACTCTAGAGGCCATTGTTCATGCATAGAATTGTATTTCACCCCTAGACAAAGGTAAAGACTGGAAATGTTTTTTGAACATGTTACATAAATTAGTAAAGGAAGACTAGATAAGTTTTATGTATCAAGTAGAATGATATGAAGACCATATATATATATATATTAATTTTAAAGCTTCAGATGATTTTTTATTGCACAATTTCTGTCAACAAAGTAACCTAGTACATGATATCGTTAGGCCTAGTACATTATATATATATATATATATATACACACACACACACACACACAACTAAATACGTGGTCGTTTAGGGCTAACGCT